ACATTATGTACCATATACTAAATCAGCAGTGCCCTCGAGATCAGACTGGGGACTTGAGCACTTAAAAGATGGTTTAGTGCTTGCTATCTTCCTACATTTGTACTTTTTAAACAGAGAACACATTTTAAATTGTGATATTTATTGGAAATGACAAACAATATTGCTGGTGTTATTGGCGATGGCCATTTAACAGAAAATTTCAGCCATCTTATTTAGGTTTTCGAAGAGAAATGAGGAGTTATCGTATACATAACCCCTCTTTTTTTAACTTTTTAACTAACAAATCAGCCATCCCCTGCCCATTGCAGTGCTATAAAGCGAGCAATAGGAATATATAGAAACAGGGTGTCCAGCTAAAGTTCTCCAACAGAAAACAATGCAGTCAAACTGATTTTGTCGCTGATGCTCAGTCGCTTTGCATTCAGTTAGGACACAATGTAAAACTGAGGAAAATTCTTTGTGCTTTCAAGTTGCCCCAAGGAACATAGGCTAGTGTAAGATGCATTTATTTATTTTTAAAATAGCATTATGATGCCCATGTGTTTCTTGAATGGACTTATTTTATTTAGAACATAATGTATGAGCAAAAGTAGTGTTCTTTTCAGTAACAGTATTTTAAATCTACATGCTTTAATGATGTCATTATCTATATAGCCTGCCTATCAGTTATTTTTAAACCCAATAAACATTTGTCCAGGACATTGAAATCTTCCAGGACACATAGACCAGCACCAGTTCTGTATAAAGGCAGCCCTGGTGTATATAATAGTGGCACTAAACTGATAACACATCAGATTGTAACAATCATAATCACCTTGTTAGATGTTAGCTGGATTTAAGAGCTTGTTAAACAACATAAATGAGACTTTAGTCTGAAAGTTGTCATTCTTCACATGAAGATCTTTGTGAGAAAAAAGATGAGAAGAACAAGTGATGTTAAGATATGAAAACGCGCCCCAGAAACCAATTATCATGAGAAATGGAGCAAAATGATTTCACATTCTTATGCACGCAGAGGATGTCATGCAGGTTTAAATTAACTCCATCAGTAAACCAGATGATTACATTCAGTAAACAACCACAATGTGATGAGGGCTCTGAGCAAACAGACCGCTTCTCTGTATCCTACAATTGAATGCAGACTGATTCATAATGCAGATACAGATTTGTATCATTGACAATTGTAGTATGTCTGTCAGTGGTGAAGACAATAGACTCTTGACCCGAATACTATCTACGACCCTTTTTTCAGCTTAACTGATTTCAGAAACAAAGGGGAAGTATTAAATGCTAATACTCTTATGATGTTTTGGTTTACTACTAACTCCTGTTAAACCTCTGGACTCGCAACAGAAGAATGGCTGATAATAAGATATAACTGCACTGGCATCATTAGCTTCTTGTATTTTATAAGATTTTTTGGTTTATCTACGTGTATGTGTTGTGTGTTGGAGTCAGTAATATTGAACTTTGAACCTTGTTGCAAGACGATAATGGATATTCCCTCAGTTTTACATTCCTCAGCACCAGAAGACTATCACCCTTTAAGAACGAGGAAAATGTTGAGAAGATATAACTCAGGGATCCTTGCAGAAATTAATTATATAACCTATTGTAGCATGCCTCAAAAGTTCACGGTGCATGAAAAACTTAATATGCATGGCCTTCACCTTTACAGGCTCATAAAATTGTAGAGTTGTGCTTAATTTTTTTTTCTTTTTTTTTTATAATATGACAGATAATTTATGAAGACCGGCATATGTTAATAGCACTCTACATTGGTGAGACTTTAAAAAGTTGGGTTTGATGTCCACTCACACAACCACGGAAAGGTCAATGCGATTTTTTAATACGGCTCTAATGATATTCATGTTCTTAGTCGCCACTTTTAAATTGGACTTTGTGGATAGCAGTGGAATTAATACTACTGTCTTTAAAAAAAAAAAAATCAAGGGTTGCATGCGTGTGTGTGTGTGTGTGTGTGTGTGTGTGTGTGTGTGTAAAATACATTGTCATAATCAGGGTTTTCCTGTGATTACAGTGCATGATTTAGTGGGTGAGTGGACAATACACAAGAAAAGTACAATGTGACATTAAACATATGCTCATAGGGTAACTATACTCAGACACCTTTCTTATAAAAGGTCATTTGATTCTTCACAAAACAGGTTTTTTCAAGGCAGTCTGTTATGTAAAAGATGTGCCATTTGACAATTAAAGGGACAGTTTCTCCCTAAATTAAAAATACACATTTTTCTTCTAATCATGTTGCACTAATTATTTCTCCAGATTGTTTCGGTGTGAGTTGCAGAGTGTTGGAGATATCAGCCACAGAGATGTCTGCCTTCTCTTGAATATAATATACAGAGAGCAATCAGGACAGTACACAACGTGGAGTAAGTAAAACTGCAACAAGCATGTTTAAAGTGAGAAATAATTCACTCCTGGGCAAAATTAAAAAATGTTTTCTGTTTTCTGGGAAGGAGTGTTATAAGAGGAGAATTTCATTTTTAAGAAACAATGTGTTCGCACAACTAAGAAGAGTCTGTATTTCAGTGTATAGGGTGTGATCAGTTGAAATAAAGCACAAATATGAAACACTTTAAAAAATAAATAATAAAGATATTTTTGGCAGATTTTTAAATGTGGAAAAGTTGTGCTAGGAGAGTGCACATTTATTTTCTAACACTGTGTGGTACTTGGACTGTAAATAAACTGGGTTTATTATTTACTTAATTGGGTGGTGAATAGACCCGGGATAGTTGTATATTAGTTGTAAATAAAATTGGGAATTCATTGAAATAATATATGTGTTAAAAGATGAAATGTAAGAGAGGGGTAGGGACATATACGTTTTACTTCAGCCTACTCCTTTTCAGACACTGTTATCTTTGTCTTGTTTGTTTTTTATCATGTCAGTCATTCATACATAATGGAGCTAGATGGCACTCAGCTTGTGGTGCTCAAAGCGCCAAAAAAAATTAATTTGTAAGACTCAACAGCAATGTCTCTTTCCAGAAATCATGACCTGGTTACTCAAGATAACCCACAGACCTTGTTGTGAGCAGTTTCATATAGGAACTATTTTCTTTCTGCCAAACTACACCTGCCATCCGTATCACTGTGCAGAAGGAAGAGTGCATCTACTCATGGACAAGAGACTCATGCTACTGATAGCACAACATGTAAATTTTAGTGGTGTCTTCACGAACTTGCTCCTGCACTCTAATTCAAGAGTAGATACCAGCTTCTTTCTGCACCGTGATACAGTTGGCAGGTGTTAGTTGGTAGAAAGAAAAGAGTCTGCGCATTATGTTGAGCAAGTGGGTCATGATTTCTGGAAAGGAACACTGCTGCTGATTTTTAACAAAGGTATTTGTTTGGGGTCTTTCAGTGCCACAAGCCGAGTGCATTTTCATTATATAAGAGAGAAGGCAGACATTGCTACAGCCAATACCTCCAGAACTTAGCGACTCACATCAAAACAATCTAGACTGATAAATAGCACTACAGGTATGACAAAAAAAATGTCTTTTTGATTTTGGGGTGAACTGTCCCTTTAAGTCACACTCCTGTTTTCTTTGTAAGTGACCTGAAGGCAGGTTGAATTTCATTAAAAATATAGTTTATTATGTTACTCTCAGTTGTCAGTCAGTGTATTTGCTCAGTGTTGGTAAAATATCTCATACCTCACTTCTCTGTTTGACCCATATCTTCACTGTGCTGTCTGTGTGTGGGGGAGAAAAATGAAAATGAATATGAAAGAAAAGAAACGGCCACTTTAAAAACCCTCTTTATGCACATGTATCAGCTGTACTGATGAAGTCAGGGCTGTGCATGTTCTCAGACCAGGGCAGGTCTGGCAGCCCTGCCTACTACTTGATTACGCCACTCTGACAACCCAGCAGCCTGGTAAGGTCAAGCCCTACAGAGTGTCAGAGAGGTGGGATGATGATGTATCTCTTTGATGCCTCCGTTTTTCACCTCTTGACTTTGTTGTTTTTCTCCTTTGCGTCAGTGTCAATTTTTTTTTTGCCCATCTGCCGGGGACGTGTCTCCAATCAGAGCTGGACAGTCAAACCGTTAACCCTCTGAATACCTGGGCAGTAAAAGCATTTCTCCGTCTTATACTTTCTTGTTGGCTTTTCTTCGTATTGAGTGAAATACTCACTCAAAACCAAACCTGGTGAATATTCTACCTTATTCTGCAGCTTAGCATAATCACACTGAATTGCCATTTTATTTCACTTAAGTTATTGTTACTTACTTATTATTTATTTGAATTGCTGAACATATCTGAGATGTGTGCAACAATTTAAAGGAAACAGGCTATGATACGGACTGTGTTGGAAATAGAAACAACCACAATATTAATTCCCTAACCTGGTGTACCTCTCCTTTGTGATCTTTGCTGCCATGCATGAGATTTTTGAAAAACTCAAATCCCAGGAGGACTGGAGGGTAGAGTGGGATAACTTTGAGGTAAACAAAATGAAGGTTTTCTTCATTTTTCTTTAACGTTAAATGAATGCCATCGTAACATTTTGTCCTCTCAATGACAGAATTTTTTTGAATGTGCACTGTGAAGTGTATTCAAGGTCAAAGTTTACTTAAAATGTGGCTGCAAACTCTGGTGAAAAATTGGGGAATTGGATACGACTACAGCTCACAGCTGCTCTCCTCATTGGAAATGGAAATGCAAAAAGTCACACGTGTGTTTGGTGTGACACCCGTTTGTCTCATTGTTTCAAATGTCCACAGTATTTACTATTCACCCTCCAAAAAGTTAACTCTTTAATAAGGTCCTGCGTCTGACAACTGGTAAAGCATGTATTTATTATAACAGCATCCCCATATTCATCAAGTGATAGTCATGTCATTTCAGAATGAACCAACACACGGAGACAAAGCTTTATAGCAAAAACAGTTTCCATACACAGCATATTTATTAACTCACATACGCTGCATTTTTATCACAAACACAAAGAGCTGTACTCTTCTACAGGATGATTGCAAGTGGCTTGTAGGTGACAACAGCCGCCGTGATCCGGATGTCTTGCCCTAAGCCAGTCGTCCTGTGCGCTGCTGCCTCTGTAGAGACGTCTCTTGTTGTTAGCATGTAGCAGTGGATATTTCAGCTGATAATGCTGCAGACTTCGCTGGAGAAGCTGAGGTCAGGCAATGGGCTATTCTTAGCGTGACCTCAGTCATATTCTCCATTATGTCTGAAAACAAATGGGTATAAATCAGCTCAGATCACAAAAAGAGACTCTAAACTGTAGGATAAAACTCACATTGGTAAATCAGTGTGTTTGTCAGATAATGTGACTCAGGGTGACACAATGGGATGCTACTCAGCCAGATTTCTCTCTTTTCCCTTCTTGGTGTTGGTGTGTGTCTGCGTCAGCGTCTCTGTATGAACAACAGGGAGGGAGGGAAGGAGCTTGTGCTGGGTGTGTATGCGGGGAGGGGTGCATGTGTCGGTGCTCAGGTGGCAGATACCCTAGGTAAATCATTTCAGATCCATTTATTCAGAAGCCTGTGTGCAGACGACACCTGCACAACGCTGCCAAAGAAGTGCCACAATGTCAGTGACTTCGTTTGCAGCTCTGACCCCCTCCACCCCCCGCGGCTGGCGTGTGTGTGTGAATGTGCATGTGCCGTGTGTAGGCATATATATGTATATACTATATCTTCATTTGTGTGTAGTGGTATTCGGTGTCTTTATGTCTTATTCAGAGAGAAATAAAAAAGCATGGGAAGCTTTTCTGTCATCTGAATGTCTGTGTTATTGCTGTGTTGCTTTCAATGATTCCTGCTTTAAATCTAGCTTCACTCCCGTGGACGATTAGTTAATTTAATTACTCTAATGAACAAACCGACGCTAAAAAGGAGGTTTGTTTGGTTCTTAAATAGCAAATTAATTTTTAAAGCGCCTGAGATCAAATTGATGGTATTTTTAGTCTGGATGAATTTATATTTTTTTTGATATGACAGCTGTCTTAATCTGTGTTCAAAATGAGCTCGTTTGCCTGTGTCATTTGCGCGCTGACAGTCAGTTGTGACAGTTGTAAAGTGTTCTTGAAAAAGCGCCCGACGTGGACACTCAAGGCAGCCAGACGAAAGATTTGCAGGCTGTGATGTCTGTGTGTCAAATTACTTATCTCGCTAAGCATATGCTGGCACTTCAGAATCATATACTTCAAACCCTGCGGCCTTCAAAAGCGTCAAAACGGACTGTCTTATTCAACACATCAGTCATGTAGCCACCAGCAAAATGAGCGAGATGTCATTTGCACTCAACAAAAAGCTTCCAGAGACATTTAAAGACACTCTTGATGACTGTTTCAATTTGGAGAGGCTGTTAATGATATCGTCTCAGCTGCCTTTTGCAGGTTTTTTTTTTTCCCCCTTTTTCTGAAGATACAAGTGAACGACAAAGAGTACTTAGATGTGCACTTCAGCTAAAGCTTTGCCAATTATTAATTTGAATCCTGAAGACAATTAGTAAATCACTACGGCACCCATTATCCAGCTGTTGCCCTGGATTTTTGAAGAGCGAGCCAATCTTAGGGTCAATTTAGTCTGCCAGTAATGACAAAACATAAAATAATGATTCTCTCTGTCACACTATCACACGTTTTGTGCCAATAACAAAGTCCTCTTGTGTGTGATGAGCCTGAAATAACATTCTACAAATAATATTGACCTAATAATAGAGAAAAACAACAAGAATATCTTTACTAAACACCCGCTGTGCTTCCTCATTCACAGTTTTCTTTTGTTTGAAACCCTTTCCTTACACCTCGACACACACACGCTCACTCAATGACACATAGATGCAACACACCAGTCCTTGAGCTCCAAGCAAATATCCCCCTTGGTTTGTACTGTTCTAAGTGTTAGAGAGGGTTAAACTATTTCATTGCACTAATTGGTCAGTGTCATTCCTGACGTTTGGATAAACAGCGGAAAAGAGGGAAAGCTGAGACAAATGATGGCTAATTAAACTGGTGTGTGTGTGTGTGTGTGTGTGTGTGTGCGTGAGAGAGAGAGAGAGAGAGAGAGAGAGAGAGAGAGAGAGAGAGAGAGAGAGAGACAGTGCTGCAGAGACAGAAACCAGCTGACAAAAAATGGAGTGACGAAACACCCAGCTTGACAAAAGCAACAACTGCTCCTTGCTAAAGAAACTTAACATAAAGAGAAAACTACTTTCTGCTTTCTTTGAAATCCTCAATTTCTCTCTAATTGGGTTTTATTCAGCGCTGACGGGGAGGGAAATGGAAACAGTGATTGGACACATTTTACTTAGAGTATTTTGGCAGGAGCAAGCAATTTTAGGCTTGAACTGGAAGTGTTTTATCCGGGTTAGAAGTTTCCGTTTTTTTTGCAATTTCCTATATTGAATGAGAATTTTCATTAAAAAGCAGGCAAAGGTGTATATATAAATCTTTTCCCACCAGTTGTCCCTTGCCCTCCCTGCTGCTAGTGATCTGATAAAACAAAACTCAGATAAAAACTCATCTTAAAGTAGCAAGAAACAAAGGAAGATAGAGAGAAAGTAGGGGAAGCGAACTCTTAAAATGAGCTGAGGCACGTCTGAACTCCGACCCACAGGGGACATTTGTTTTCAGAGGTAGCGTGTTGCCCTACCACATCATCCCCGAGGAGATATCTTCCTCACCATTTCTCTGCTACTTCACCTCATGTTACAGCCTCTCTCTCTCTGTCTGACTGACTCACACATGTGGACGCACACACATAAACACACACACACGCTCACATACAATCCCTCAAACCTTCGCCCAACCCCCCACCTCGCCTTTCTCGCATTTGACCACTTGTCAAGGGATGTTTATGGGCCATTGTTTGCAGTGCTGATGATCATTGTCACCGGTTGATTCCATTACCCATAGCCCTCTGATGGATGGGGCCTACCCTGACGTCCACTGATACGGGTGTCCTTGACCACTGGGGCAGACGCAATGAACGGAGGGGGCAGTGGGGTGGAGAGTTGGATCTTCTATTTTTTTTATTCAGTAGAAACAATGTGTCATACTGTGTAAATGATGTTAAGGTGCTCCGTTTGCAGATGTGATGATGCAAAAAACAACCTGAAGTAGTTTCACAAAAGCGTGCGATGTTGACAAGAAATGAAAGTATTGTTGACTGGTGGTAGGAAATGGGAAACAAACAGCTGTCTCCTGGTGTCACGATATTGGAATTTCTAACCTCAGTACAATTCCTTGAAAAATACTGATATTCAATACTATTTTCAATACCACATAGAAAAATTGACATAGAGGGTATACAAATACATTTTTATTGAAAGATTTGTATAAAAAGGCTGTAACATGACAACAGTGACTTTTCTTATGTGGGTTAGTAGCAGAAAATATCAGAATGACTGTAGAGAACATTAACAATAAGGGTGCTTTCAGACCTAGAGTTAGTTTGCTTTGGTCTGAATCAGGGACTAATTTTATTACAAAGTAATTGCCTAGAGCTGGTTTGTGTTCTCACGGCAGCATTTACAAGCAGACCAGATAAAATGCTTGCATGAGAAAGCTGCTCTTGATTGGTCAGAATTTCCATGTGGGAAAAATCCAGGAAGTAAACAAAACCTTGAAGAAGAGTACACTTGCGAAATAAACATGACACTTACTAATGTCACAATGGAGGGACAACTACGCAGGTTGATTTTAGCGCTGCTCATCGTGGACTATATTGCTGTCATTGTTCATTTTAGTCAAACCATACCGTTTGAAAACGAGGCGCGGCTCCAACTAGAAAACAATGTTATGATGCATTGGATGTGCTGAATGTGCATATTAAGGCTGTACAGGAGGAGGTGCACAGTAATAATCCTCCAGGACTGTAACATGCTCATGTTTAACCCAAACAATGTGTCATGTGACTGCAGCTGGTTCGGATCGAGGTCGGAACACGTTCTCATCACAAATGAGCCGCACCAGAGTTCGTTTGTAACAAGAAGTTCCTGGTCCAGTTGTGTTTTTGGTGCACACCTGAGTGTGATTGCTGTGTTTAAACCTGCCCAAACAAACCACACTTAGGGGGCAAACGAACTTGAGTTGGATTGAACCGAACCAAACAGAGCAGGTGTGAAAGCACACAAGAGAAAGCACAACTGATACCAGTACATCAGTACTGTGGAAAATGAGTCTTAAAACTGTTTCAGATATTCAAAATCAAAAACACATTTTCACTCCCAACTCCTCAAATGCTGACACTTGGTCACTGGCCCTAAAGGTTAAACTATGACACACCAGGTACCCCTCCTGTGTTGATTTTGGACGTTCAGGTACAGCGTGTCAATTTATGCTTGTTACATAACTTTCAAAATAAACCTCAGTTTACACAAGTAATGTACAGTTATTGCTTATTACATTCATGCAGTCTGTTTTCAAATTAAACTTTGAAGTTGTAGTAGTTTTTACAGTTACTTGCTTTAGCGTTTTGCCTTCCTCGAGGCAACAAAAGCACATGGTTAAGTTTAGAAAAAACATCATGGTTTGGCTTAAAATAAGTACATTTGTTACTAATGTTAAGTAACGTCACATGACATATGTTACTAGTGTAGCATGCTACACTTACTAGCACACTACGTTGTCATGAGAAGAACTCAACTGACTTTTGGTTCTACACAGGACACAAACAGCAGTCTCCTGCATGAAAGTCCAGAATCTGTTTGACCTGTTGACCTTCCCTCTGGCCTTTCTCTCTCCTTCTACTACAGTGGTTGCTTAAAGTGTCAAAAAATGCATACCGTCACTAAAGGGTGTCGCTGACCATCAGTATCTGATGACGATACTGATGATCAGGTGTCAGTGTTTGATGAGTTGGGAGTTAGACCAGGCTAGAATTGATATGTATCCATAGATCTATATGTTTGACAACACTTTTGTCTCCTATCATAAGGTCTGACTTTCTATTGACTTTGTTGCTTTTAACAGTGGCACCTGACTTCCTCCTTTCCTTCTGTCATAATTCCTGCGGTCGCTAGAAGGCTTCGTGACCTAAGTGTAAACCTGTCGTTTTGAGGCACTTCCTAAAACAACTGATTCTGTTGTTTCTCTTGGGAGAACAGTCACCACATGGTCGACACCCAGTACCAGTGATGGTATTTATGGTTTCATAACAAACAGCCAGAAAGGCAGTAATATAATAAACAGTACGGCCTGCAGTTTTCATACACACATCAGAA